CGTTATATATTTATTATTAAATATATTCAAATAGATGCATCCGAAGAATTTATCAATACAACTAAAAATTCATCGACTAATAGAAGATCTTTGGAACTACTTAACGAATTTGGCTATGATAGGCTAGATTCATCGGCAAAAAATCAAAATCATTCAACGATAAATGATACATTTCAATCGCTTAATACTAACTGTCCAGATTCCACTCATGGATTCGATTCCAGTTATACTCCGGATATAACTAACCAGTCCAGCATTTTAAATAATTCAACCAATAAACAAGTTTTTACTTACACAACTGAAACTCCACTAAGTGATGTCAGGGATTTGATTATTCAAACTGCGAAAACCCAAAAAAATTGTAAGAAACATTTTTGCTTATTTTGCAATAAGTTGCAAACAAAATTCGCTCGTCACTTGCAGCTTGTTCATAAAAATGAGCCGCAAGTACAAAAATTCATATGCCTGCCGAAAAATGACAAAACTCGGAGATTACTTATTGATGAAATTAGAAAAAATGGTGATTATATCCATAATATCGATGCATCGTTAAATAATGGAACTCTAATCGTGCCCCGTCAAAAGCGAGTTAATTCTAAAAATGAAGTTGTTGATTTCATATGTTGCAAGGGATGTTCTGGATTTTTTCCCAAAAGCACAATACGAAGTCATATTAATAATTGCAAAGGCAGCGATCATAAGAAAGGAACTCGTGACTTGCTTAAACAAGGTCGCTCCAAAACCGGCTTTATGCATAAAAGTGCAAACGACGTTGTGCGCACAAAAATAATGCCTGTTTTAAATGATGATCCAATTTCTCGGAATCTGATATATGATGAATTGATTGTTTTATTCGCAAACGCAGAATCTATGAAGCACGGCGAACTTCAGTACGATATGATCAGAGCAAACATGAGATTGCTAAGCAGACTATTATGTGAAATAAAAAAATCTGAACCCAATGAGATACAGGAACTTAAAGACGCCATTAATCCCAAACATTTGGATTTAATGATATCTTGTATCAGAAAAGTGGCTCAGTGGGACTCTTCTTTGTTGTTTTTTAAAACACCTTCAGTCGCAACGAACCTTACAACTTTAATTAAAAAGTGCGCAAAAATATTATGGACTCATTGCATAAAAACACAAAATCATGAAAAAAAAAAAATAATTAAAGATTTTCTTGTTCTATGGGAAACCGAAATCCCTCTTTTTATAAACAAAAAAGCTATAGAAGATCAGTCAAAGAAAAAGAGAGCTCTACCAACTATCTTACCATGTAAAGAAGACATCAAAAAACTTTTTGATTATGTGATAAAAAAGTCTGAAAATTCTCTTAGTGTGCTGAAAATTAAGTTTGATTTTTTGTCATGGACATCGTTAATACAAAGCACACTAATTGGCCTTCAAATTTTTAACCGCCGTAGAGCTGGTGAAATTGAAAGACTAACAATTGAGAACTATCTAACAGGCCACGCCATCGATGAAAATGTGGATAAAGAAAACTTCGACCGTCTCACGAAAGAAACTAGAGAAATTGCTCAAAAATACACAAGGTTGACTATCCGTGGAAAACTAAATCGAACTGTGCCAGTGCTGCTCACACCGTTTGACAAGTATTGTATTGAAACTATTCTTAAATATCGTAAAAGAGCTGGTGTTAAGAAAAATAATGATTACATATTTAGCGTGCCTAACGCCAAGCCTTTAGCAAAGCAGTATGTACGGGCTTGCCCCATTCTAAAAAGATTTGCCCTGGAGTGTGGGGCTCGCTGCCCAGGGGCCTTAAGGGGAACGATGCTTCGAAAGCATTTAGCTACCTATACATCGATGCTTAACGTCGAAGATGTCCAAATTGATAGGCTTGCCAATTTTATGGGTCATCATAAAGATATACACAAAGAAATCTACAGAATCCCTGTAACAGTAGCGGAGATTGCCGAAGTATCCCAGATGCTTATGGCAGCTCTTGGAAATAATGTTGAGGATGAAAACACAGTAGCCCTTGATCAGTTAAAAGAAAGTGAGTAAATATATTCATCAAGGTTGTGAGTGATACTAAGTGTAGTTATTGTGTAGAATATAATATTTTAACTTATCTAATAATTACTTATCCAATAAGCCCTATTGTCAATGTTTTTACATTATACTTAAAATGTATTTTGCAGATGATCCTTTAGAGGATTCGGAATCAGATTATTCTGAACAGCGATCAGAAAGCGAATTTAATATTTCCGATGATGAAATTGTAGAAAAATCCAATGCAAAAGGAAAGCGTCCAAGTAGTGAGTATTGAATTGCAACCTACATATTTTTGTCACGTGCTTACATGCATTGCGATTAGTCTGTCCTATTTATCCTCATTCGCAAAGTGAAAAAATATATCGTGCTTATTTTGCGGGCCCATTGAAGTTAGAAACTTTGGGCTTGAAATATATACACGTATATATCCACGATAGGTAAAGTGCTACAATTATATAATGACGACCACTGGGGGCGTTGTAAATCCTAAAAATCGTTTTAAATTGCACAATCGCAAATCTTACAGAATCTTAGAGCTTGACTAACTTTTTCATGAATACTATTGATGGACTACTCTGAAGATCGATAAAAATTAGTTTGCCTACGATTGACTGGGTGCGTGGCGAATGTTTAAAATTGATATCACCTAATAAATTGTTCTGGTAGGCTGTATTAATCTGTTATTGGTCTATGATTGAGTATTGCGACGGTTGCAACCGACTGCAAAGTTTTTAATATTTTTCTATATTACTAAAACGTTATTCTTTTTCACACTAAATTGTATTAAACTCTATTATTTAACAGGATCATCATTTGGAAAAACGATAAGAAACCGGTGGTCGAATGAAGAGCGTGAAGAAATATACCAGGCTTTTGGCGACCTGTTGTCGCTTAAAGGATTGCCGTCACTTAATCAATGCAACACAGTTATAAATAATTCTACATATCTAAAATGTAGGACACCGGCGCAAGTAAAAACATGGATAGATAATCAGCGCAAGGCTAAATCAAGGAACTCCGCAAATAGATTAAATAATAAATATGTTGACCATATTTAAAATAAGTGGATTATACTTTTTCGTATATTAATATTAATTTATGTTAAAAAATTTTGGAATTAAAAAAAAATTCATTTTAAATGCATGTATTTAATAACGTCATTTATGTTAATTCACATTATTAATTTTACTTTAACCTAAAGTGATCCAAAACTACATTCAAAATAAATTTGACTCTTAATTTCAATTAAGCCAGTCTGCCACTAAATTTAAAATGTATAAATTTAATAAAATATTGCTGAGTCTTACGTGGTTTAGCGTTATATTTATTTAGTTTAGTGAGTTTTATCGAAATTCACTGTTCCCTAGTCCTCATAACCTCTATATATGAGTCTCTATATTTATATAAAATCAGTATGTTTTTGGGGACAGCTATTTGACTGTTATTTACTAAATTGAAGTGTGAACTGGACCAAATCTCATCGTTCCTGTGTCCTTATAATACACGTTGCTTATGCAAAAAGGTCTGCATATGGCAACCCTGCGTTTTTGTTCCTAAAACTGACCTTATATATAAAGTTCATTATACGGAAAATTTTTATGTTATATACTGAGAGTATTTCGGGAACTGAGTCCTCGTAAAACACGTTACATGGTGTGTACCCAAAATAATGGTTGTATATAAAATTTCTCATAAGTCACGAGGCTATGCTTCTAAGACCGTTAAAATTTCCCAGAGGTTAATTTAGAAGTTCCATCATGATTCCCCAAAGAGAAAACCCCCACTTTTTGGGGTCCCTGAAATCGATGCTCCACATATATATATATATATATGTATATAATATATGTATATATTGTTTTTTCATTAAAGCTTTTGATATATAGATACAGAAATATGTGTCTATGAAAATATTATTTATATTCTTTTTATAACATACAATTATGAATTTTGGTCTTAGATCTGCCGTATTGACGTTTCAAATTTAGTTTTCAAGCATGCACAGTAATCGATTTATATATTGAGTTTGAATGTTAAAAACAAATGTAGGGAATACTTGCCTTAGATTTATAACCATATGTTTGAAATATTTCTAAAAATAAACCAATTGTGTATCTGGAACAATACAGTTTCTATAAATATGAATTAATTGTTTTTTGTCTGTGACTAACTCCCAAATTTAATAAATAAACTTAAGTATAACAAATTGAACGTAATTATACTTCAGTTTCAAATAAAAAAGATAAAAAACCTGTAAATTACATATTTCCAAAAAATATAGCCGATCGATACTGCCATAAAGCTAATATATATGCATACATATTAATAAATTAAAACACACTTATATCTAAGTAATATTTCCAGTTACCTTATACATTATATATTGAAGGCTATGCACATTGAAATCGCTGCATATATAGTATGTCTTTATAAATATATGGAAATATAAAAATGTGTATATTTAGTAACATACCACCCCCAATCTGAGGCGCTGATATTTTTGTAGCATTTCGAATGAAATGAAATTAAATGTATAATTTATTGTTGCATAAACAAAAGGCACGAAACCGAATCGAAAATCGAACCAAACGCAGCCGAAGCGCATGTGGCACCTTTAAGTATTTCGATTTGTACTCGGCCCCAGACCCCGCTCTCACCTCGAATATCGCCCTGGTTTGGCCTGGTCTATGTGGAACGCATTGTATTTTGCAGGGGCTGGAAAAATTAGTGCTCCCGCACGAGCTGAGCCAAAAATAACAATCGGGCGGTGAGGGCTCAAATGTTAGAAAATGTGTGGGGGGATGGTTGGTGGAGGAGGTGAAGCGGTGCAAAGAAGCACAGATTTGTTTATAGTTTTCGTATAAACAATTGGCAATTGAGAAATCGCTTGTTCGAGAAAAATCGAAACAGTTTTTGCTGAAAAATGACGAAGATGGTTGCGAAATTCGTGAGCATTCAATAATTCCAATTCTATACAAAAAGTTCAAAAACTAAAAAGAAACCAAATTGAAAAGCTGAAAATAAAAACGTTGGGGAAACAATGCATGCAGAAATATCGGCGAACCGCATCAAACCATAATCATATAATCATGCTAAATAATGAATGCAAGCTGAAGCGCAACTGGGTTGGCGTTAAGAGCAAAGTAAACAAGTGCATAAGGAATGCGAGAACAAACTGAATATGAATAGCCAGGAATACTCATAAATACCCGAGTACTTATGGGCTCTGTGTATGTATGTATCTGGCCGGATGATCTGAAATTGATCGCCAGAAATTGTAAGGCGTATACATGCAGTTAATTGATATGAAATTAATTCTTAGAACGAGTTTCAGCTTACAAAAATTTTGCGACTTAATGTATGTCACAAGCGAAAACCGGTAAGGATGATGACCACAAATAATTATTTGGGTTTTTTTTTTGTGATTTTGGTTGGCTTGCCCTTTAAAAGGCGACTAATCGGCTGCAGAGGCTCAAACCGTAGAGAGCAGCGGCACAAACAGCAACAGCATGTTGAAGATTGTAAGTAGACGCAAATGTTCCATTCTCCTGGTTGCGTCCACTAATGCGTCCACTTCCTTTGGTGCAGTTACTTAGCATTTTTGGCCTGTGTCTGGTTGGCGCTTTGGCCGCGCCCGCCGATGTCGATCATACGAGCACAACGGTGCCGCCAGTGGCTATTGTGGATTCGGGTCAGGAGAAGCATGAGGATGGCTCGTATCATTTCTTTTACCAGGGCGAAGATGGCACGAGGCGCGAGGAGACGGCCGTGGTGCAGAATGCAGGCACTGGGGATGCGTTCCTCGAGGTGAGCGGCACCTATTCATATTTCGATGCCGACGGCAAGGAGGTGGTGGTGAACTACAAGGCCGATAATTACGGTTTTGTGCCCGAGGGAGGCAACATATTGCCACAGATAACGCTGGCCGCCAAGCTGGCCAGTGAGCAGAGGTACCCTCTTCCCGATACGGACTATAAAAAGCCGCCGCAAAACGAATAAAAAGTAATCAAATGTTGCAAAGAAAATATTAGTTTCTATGCCTACAAATCATTAAAAATGGTTAGAAAGATTATATTGGTGTTATGCAAATGGAGGAAGCAGGCTTTTTCCATTCTCTTGACCAGCATCAACAGCCGAGTTGATCTAGCCATATCCGTCTGTCCGTCCGCTTAATTTGCAAGGAAAGATCGAGTTTATTTCTAAAGAACGAAAACTCGCTCTGCTTCTGCTTCAATATAAAACCTATATCAAAATTCAGTTCTCTGAGCATATTTCGAAGAATATAGGAGCGAAATTCTCCAAACTTAATTTGTTAGTTTTCCGCTATTCGAAAACTTATACTTCTTTGATACTTTCACCCCTTTCCCTCAAAATGGAGCTATGTTGTACGTACATTTTTGGAGTCATATTGTTGGGCTTTGGAATTCGCATAAATTTGGATATGTATGCCCTCAAAAATTTCATAAAGATCGGACAGTAAAAGCCGAAGAAGCACTGCCGCGACGTAAGCTGCGCATCAAGCGCATCATGTTGTATGCATCAAAATAAGCAAGAATGTTGGTAACGGCAGCCTGTGGCTGGGCTCAGGGTATATACATATATTGTTTCAGGTTTTATTTTTCATTTAATGCAGAAACAATTTCAACTAACTACAGGTTTGCTACAGGACGCTCTAAGCTGTACCACGTTAACTAGCATTTAAATTAACAGTGCGCTGAACAAGTTGAGAGTACAAAATACAACTACAAGTATTTAGGGATAGGTCTAGGCATAAGGGGCGTTATAATACATACGAGTACGAGAGCTCAGAGAGATTCGTTAAAAACAATGCAATAAATATGACATAAGCAGAACATATGCTGTATGTGTTAGTCTGGGTAAGGAGCGAGATGTAGCCGCTACTTCTTGACAGGCGTGGCCGGCGGAGAGCGATAGACGTTGACCAACCCACCAGCATTCGGCTTGCGGCTCTTGAGTCGCTGCTGCAGCGTCTGGAGCAGGCCGGCCAGGACATCATGATTTGGTATCTTCTTGGCAAACAGCAGACGCTTCACTGAATCATCGTAGGTCAGCAGTGCGACCATATTCTGCAGCAGAAAGCACTGGCAATACTCCAAGAGATTGTTGGCATTGTAAACCTGTGAGAAAGAACCCGAGTTGGTCACCAGCTCCATGTGAATGATAATAATAAGCACCCACCTTAGCATGTATATACATGGCGACCACATTGTCCACATCGACCATCTCGGAGCAGCGCGCCTCTGTGTAGCGCAGCAGCGCCTCCAGCTGAAAGAAGCTGGCGGCAGCCATCAGTTCGAGCACATCACCATGGGATACATCCAGAGCACTGCAGCCGCCGCTATATAGAAACTGCATGACCAGCTGGAAGATGTGATAGCGTATATCATTGATCTGGACAGTGGGCGTGCTGGTGGCATCGCTTAGCTTGGCACTGAGCATGCTCTGGAATCGTGGCGAGGCCGTGACCAGCACTATCTTGTGGCCATAGAATATTTTACCCTCGACGCTGCAAGAAAAATATGTGAAAAGTGGACGTTAAAACTAATCCAGATAACTTGATAGGGCTGCTGCCATACCGAAAGGTGACATCGCTTAGTTCCGGATTGTTGACAAACTTTGGATCGATGCGTGTGCCCTGGACTGGCTGCAGTGGCGGCTGCTCTTTCAGTGGATGCAGCGCCTCCCAGCCAAAGCATGTGGCAAAGATGTCCGCCAGCAGCAGCGTGGTGCCTTCGTTCTTATTGCGAAAGATGTTGAAGAGCAGGGGCAGGCACTCGCTAACAAACTGGGCGCTATAATCATCGGGGCAAACCTGGAGAAAGTCCTGCAACAGCTGATCAATGACCGCGTCCAGTCGCAACTCGTGAGCCGCCGACAGCGCATGCATCCAGCAGTGCAAGGTCCAGGGCACACCCAGCTTGCGCAACTCTATGGTTATATCTGAAATGGAATAAAGAATATATTCTTAGCATTTGTGGAGGCTGTTTTCGTTTGGGTTTTCTTTTGGTTTACTGCTCACCCAAGTGATTGTTCTCGGCGCTGTGGTACATGGCCTCCTGGAGTCGCTTGATCTGCGTCTTGTTCAGCAGCGGCAGCAGATCTTCCCCAGCGACTGTGGCCGCGGCAGCGCCAGAGCCACGCACACCCACCACATCGCCCTCGGCGAGCATCTCCTCCAGCGAGAGCACATCCCGCGTGCCCGGCGACAGCGGATGCGTGAGCAGCTTGCGCAGGCACGAACGATGCCCATGCGCTGCCGCCACGGAGATGGCACAGAAGCAACCCTTCTGCGCGGCACCCGCAAAGCACAGTGTGTCCTTCTGCTGTGTAGACAGGAAAGCATTGGCGCCATGCGCCAGTAGGAGTGCCACCATCTCCAGATTGCCTGTGCCCGCGGCCAGCTGCAACGGCGTCAATGTGCACTTCTCCTCGCTGCTGCGAGCACCGCCCTCCACCTTGCCGCCGCGTTCCAGCAGAATGCGCAGCGCCACATAGTTAGCACGGCTGGCGGCAAAACTGAGTGCCGTCCAGTGTTGTGTGTCCGGCTGTATGGCCGGATAGCCAGTGCTTCCCGCCGCCGGCACCTCCACATTCGGATCACAGCCGGCATCGAGCAGGGCATGCAAGGCGACCTCATCATTTCGTATGCTGGCAATCATCAGGGCTGTCAACCCGGCGCTATTCTGTGTATCATAGCGTGTGGTAGGCGGCAGCAGCTGCGCAGCTTGGGCTAGAAGCTCGGCGCGACCCGTCAGCAGCAGCTTGAAGGCGACACCAATGGTGGCACGCCTGCCCAGTTCCGAAGTGTCCTCGCCAATACTGCTCACGGCCGGGGAACTGGAGCTGGAGCTGCCAGTGCCAGTGGCGCTGCCACCCTGGCTGCTGCCGCTGCTAAAGTGCGTCTTCTTTGTGGGCAGCTCCTCATCATGAGCCACAGGACGTATGGGACAATCCACTCCGGGCAGCAATAGACGCGCAGCCTGCAACAGGATGTAGATTGGGTGTGTTAGGACATAAAACACTAATTGAAGGTGTGCCTCAGCTTACCTGCAAAATATCATCCTTGTCAATCATCAGGCCATTGCGGTGCTCAGCGTGCGCCGATGCCACTCGCAGCCATTCGGCCAGCGGTGGGAGCACCACGTAGGCGCGTTCATAGCACAGCTCCTGGACGTTATGGGTGCCACTGTTGGGTGGCGCCTGGCCGGCCGTTGAGCTCTGGGCAGCCAGCTCAGTGTGCTCCAGCTGGGAGCAGCGCATAAAATAGAACAATGCACTTAGCGCCGCATTGGAGAGGGCGGTGGCATGCTGGAATTCCTGCTGTGTGCGCAGCGCCTTCTCCTTTAGCTCGCGTATGCTACCCACACAGGTGGCCAGCGAAAAGGCGCTTGCCCAGCGCGGCATGGCCAAAGCGCCGGAGGCAATGCGTCCGGCATTCAAATGTGCAAACGGCTGCAACAAGCCCCAGAAATCGCCAGAACTGGCAATGCTCTGATCTAGAGCCTGGGCAGTGGTGCCACCGGCACCGCCGCCGCACTGCAACATAATCTCCTCGAGCAGATTTTCAATGCCAGCGCACAGGTAGACGGCAGCGTACTCGTGTATGAACTTGCCCAGCCGAGCATCGGTCATCCATCTGAAGAAGCTGCCCACCGACAGCTGTAGACCGGCGCGTGAGGATTTGCTTTGCTTTAGGGCGCTCTCGCCGGGCACTGCGAACATGGCGGCGGCACGCAGGCACGCCTTGGTGCAGGAGTCGGCAAGTGTGGAGCAGAGCACCACCTTGAAGGCGCCGGTCACCTCCTGCTTGGAGCACAAACCCAACCCAGCCGAGAAACGTTGTATCTCCCGTGCGATGCGCACCAGAGCACGCTGCAGCAGATAACCTAGCCGGGAGATGACCTCTACGGACGCATGCTCCGCCTGCTGCTTGCAGCGTCCATTCCGCAGCACACGCATAATGCACTGTTGGCTCCACGGTGGATGCTGCAGCTCCACGAGCCGATTGTGCGAGTCCACCCACACAAACTCATCCGCGCTGGTGCTGGTGATCACCGTCTCCAGCGACGAATAGCGTCCCAGTCGCCTGGCCGGCTCTGAGCTCTCCGAGCCGGCGCTCAGGCTGCTGTAGGTGCTGCTGCTTGTCTGGGAGCGCATTGTTAGCTGTTGTATGGCCAGCTTTATGTCCTCCAGGCCGCTGCCGCTCCAGGGTGCTTTGCCGGCTGGCATTATTCCACGATGGCGTCTCGAGCGTGTGCTGCGATTGGTAACACCAGCGGCCAGCCGATCCTCGGGCAGCGGTCCCAATGTCAAGCCGCCCGCTGGCGAGGAACTGTGCCCGCCCGTATCCGACATGCTAGCATGGCCTGAGCTACGATTCTCATCCGAGGAACTGTGGCACTCCTGCACCCGCTGCAACGCCCGAAACTGTTCGTGCTGATGCGTTCGCGGCGCCTGCGTCGTCGTCGTGGATGTCGGTATTCCCAGCGTGGGCCGACTGGGAGAGCTTTGCAGGCTGCCGCTCAGCTGCGGTGGCTGAGACTTTACTGGCGTACTTTGCACCGTCAGCCTAGCGGGTCCGGCAACCGCACGCTGCGGCATTGCCGTCTTGGAGATGGGCGAAGTCAGCTGCTGATGCTGCTGCAGTGGCAAGGGGCTGGTTACCACTGGTAGCGCATTCGCTGTTATCTTATTTACATTCACAGGCGCCTTGTTCGGCTGCTGCGCCAGCTCCTTAAAGACTCGCGGTGCTGGCGTTGCCATAGCCACCGCATGGCCACCACCGCCGGCTCCCACTTGTGGTGCTGCAAGGGCTGGTTGCGCCTGTTGCTGTATCTGCAGCTGCGGCTGCGGCGGCACCGGCACTGGCGGCAATCCCGTCACCTGTGCGGGCGCCTGCTGTCCAAAGTTTGGCGGCAAGTTGCCCGTGGGTCTGTTGAAAGATAAAAGACATTGACTCGTAAAGTATTTAGTCAAAC